TCTTGTACAATGAAACACCGAACCGGAATAATCATGTCGGACCTAAATCCTAAGTAGGTGTTCTTTGTATGCCACAGATGCTTGGGGGCCTTTCTCCTATCCTTCCTCTCTAATTCTTGTGATTACTGTTTGATTTTAAAGTTCTGGATTGCTAGTTAGGTTTAATAGCTGAATGGTAACTCGGGAGAAAGTATACAAGTTTGCGCTTCACGTAAAACCGTTATACATTGTTTTTATATTGTCCATTAAAAGAAAATAGGAAGTCTACTTACTTCGGATACCACCGGAGCGCTTTCTACAAGCGCATTAAGCGGGACGTACAGGCATACTATGCCGCCGTTGATGAACCTCAGAGTTCTGTTTCATCAACATCATACGCGAAAGCAGATGATTTGCCAGAAAGGCAAATACCTCTTTTACCCTCTTTTTTTCTACTTATTGCTTTACCACTACATTGACTGCCCTCTCTTTTTTAGGAACTTGCCGCAGACAACGGGAATTTTAATGCAAATTGACTGATAGCTTCTAAGATTGTACATACTTTTCTTATTTATGTTATACTTTGTTTGTTGCCAATAAACTACTTCTTCTCATTTTATTGCGTTCGTTGTGCGATGTCATTATGCAGAGGGTTATTTGCGGGTGCACTTTAACGTCTGCATACGCTTGGGTCACCTGAGAGGATGCCGGGTTACGATGCGCCATGCGTAAGACATTATAATGAGGACAGCAAAGTCGGTATCGTCGTTTTTTAATTTCGTCAGAAATTATCTACGAAGTTGGAGAACATCAATTTATTCAAGGTCTATGGGCTCAGACCGGGGATTTTATTAATGAAGATTTGGGTCAAAGTTCATCAACCACAGGGGGTATGAAGAGATAGAAATACAGCAGCTAAGACTTGAACTGTCCTCATAATAATCCTTCCTCATTTGTTAAACTTTTTGACTCTGGAATAATCTATTAACCTATTTACTGCCCACAGTGAATGAAGTCAATTTTCTGCTGAAAATTTTGAATTTATGATTTTAAAATAAATCTGATGGACTTTGGCCCAAATATTCAAGTAAAAAATTCTCGGTCTGAGCATACAGACCTTGAATAAATTGATCGGTTAGATCGCAGTTGGTAGCCAGGAATGGGGAGGCGGACAGCCAGGCCCCTGTCGTACGGGAATGGTGAGAACGGGGGTTATATGGGTGGGGTTAGTGAAAGGGCTGGTAGAGGAATGCTGCAGTTTTTGGGTAAAAGTAAATTTACCAGGGAAAGTGCTGGGAAGTTTTAAGTAGGTGGAATAATGCCAGAAATTTAAACTCTACACGTAAGCCTAAAATCCAACCCGAACCGCAACCGTAAAGCCTAACCATAAGCCTCAAAACCGAAACGTAACCAAAATCCTAAAACCTAAAGTTAACCCAAAACCTAGCCATAACCCTAACCCTAACCTCGGCCCTAACCTTAACCTTAAGCCTAACCCTAACCTTAACCTTAACGTCAAGCTTAACCGTAACCCTAATGGGAACCTAAACCCTAACCCTAACGCTGAAACCTGACCCTAAAATGCAAACCCTGATCCTAAAACTTGACCTACGCCTAACTCTAACCCTCACTAAACCCAACAGCCTGACCGAAACTGGCGATCTGCTTAACTCAGTAAGAGCTCACCTACTGATAACAAGTCCCTAGACAAGGTAAGCACACCTACTGATAACAAGTAAGTGCGTCGACAGTATCAACGTATAATGTCTGGCTACCAACTGCGATCTTACCAACTAATCTACTTCAACTTCGTAGATAATTGCTGAGGAAATTAAAAAACGACAATTTCTAAATTGGAGTATCTACCAGAAAACACACAGGGAATTCTGGGGAACCCACTGACAAGCCGAACCACTTGCAGCTGCTCCATTCAGCGGCAGAGCATCGGCGAAATACGCGTGTATGGGCTTTTGCCTAGTACATGTGCTGTTAGTATGGCATCACCTTACCTTAAACTTACACATGTACTGCCCTACTTAATCCCCCGCAACAGGATATGCTGTTCGAAGAATTTGGCTACTGTTCAAAAAGCCTTGTGTTCCCGTCCACTTTAGTCGGAAAATTATAAATTCGATTAAACGATCAGATGAAGTGATGTGCTGGGTTTCGTTAAAGTGCCCAAACAACATTTACTCGCAGCAGCAGTCGCAGCACGAGCTTCCGTTTTGCCTTCTGCCGAGAACAAGTTAGAAAGTTTTAGGATCGTGAAACGCGTGTATCGGCTTTTGGCTAGTACCTGTGCTGTAAGTATGGTATAACCTTACCCTAAAGTCGTTATCTTAAAAGGGGGCAGGGAAAAGTGGAATGGAGGCATCCCGCTGCACATCTTTTCCCGTGAGGGGGGAGGGCTGCGGCGTCGAAAACCCTGTCACGGCCCTGCATTCAGCCCCTGTATGGGTCCTTATCGTCACCTCAAGTCCCGCGGCGTTTTAGGGGGTTCGGTGGGACTAATGCTGGCAGGGACGACAGTTATCACTAAACGCACGCATTCGGACATGTGACGGCAGCAGCAGCAATATTTGTCCACCCATGCCGAAATGGAGACGGACAACAGCATCGGATCCAGCATATCGGAAGCGATCGGTATCGGGGGCTTCCGGCCATATTTCACTTAGTGTACTGCGAGTGAATCTCACTAAAACATGCGGACGTTTGCCTGAGGGGGCGTTGGCAAGACTAAATGCAATCGTAACTAGTCGTCAGCCTCGCCCAACCTCCCGCGTCTGCACGCACACAGCGCTTTGGTATGTGCACTCACCTCATCGATAAGAATTTCTGAGACACACCCTGCCCTGGCGGATATATTTTGTCGCGGATGGCCAATTCCTGCTTTTAGAAGTTTCTGCCACTGTGAGCATCCTTACAGCTTGATAGTAGCCCAGAACAACAAGTCGGGAGTTCTTTTGCTTGGCAAAGTTAGTGCCCCCACTTACCTTCCTCATAGCTTCTTTTGCTCCCAATTTGGTGTATGCATTTCAGTGTTGTCTAGTCGGCGAAGTAGATCTTTGGTTTTAATTACAAGCTTTTGCTCTTCCTGCTCCTTAAGCGGTATCATCAGACGATCCTTCGATAAAGGACCCAATCAATGCAAGTGTTGTTTGAGCGTCTTTACTCTGTTGCAATCATAAGACTAGAATTTGAACCAACATCCTCAGGATTCTCGACTGAAGCGAAATTGTGAGTTTTAGAAAGCAATTCAATGGATACGATCGTCTGAAGATGAAGTCTGTAGGTTTGACGATGTGGCCGACCAACTCAATGCAGTGCTGTATTTTAGATTGCGCAAGACGGTAGAGGTTTTTGCGAGTGGGACGTGATTTCCCACGACGCAACATCTTGTAAAAATTAACTGGATATTCCTTGTTGTTTATACATTTCTGCAGTACTACCAAGCCTCTTCCTATTCCACAGGCAAAGGATGCCTTGCCAATGCACGCCACTTTAAACTGTGTTTACGAATTCACGTGTACTTGCGGATGAAAGTACATTGGGCGAACGCAAAGGCAGTTGGCAACCAGGTCTATTGAGCACCTGCCCAGATGGCTCCTAAAGCAAGACAATAAAATCCCGCGTTCCTCCATTACGAAACACCTGCTTGATAGTGGCCACTCCGTCGACCCCAATACTTTCTTCTGAGTACTTGTTCGAGCATGAACAACTCGGACATTGCCTTACCTAGAGACGGCCTATATAGGACGGGTGAAACCAGATCTTTGTTAACAGGTGGAACACGTGGATAGCCTGACATTGCCATGGTAACCTCTAACTGCATGATTTTCCCTCCCCACACTTTTTTGCTCGTTAACGCTCCTCCTTTTTCACTATTCTTGCCATACGGTGTTTGAGTTGCCAACTTTATCCATTAGCCAGCTTTACCCAAAACCATGAACTTGCTGTTTCTACATTGCTTTGCTGCACGAATTCAAATCTGTTGTATTCTTCCTACTCGTTATCTATGTTGTAAAGCGACAGGACGCAGCTGACGAGCCGTCGCGAAATTTTTTGGTAGCATTAAATCCTACCCTGCTTGCCTACTTCAGCTTGATACCTTCAGTAATTAGCCGGACCCACGTTTATGACTGTGGCTCAAAATTGTTGTGATGCCTGCTGCTAAGTCATTCCGACTGTTGATATTTGATGTAATGGCTCAACCGTTTGGCTCGCTGTCAATAGGTCTGTTTCTCGTCCGTGCCTTAGACGTGTGATCGACGAATTTGACCAGGCAAAGTCTCGGCACTGAAACTGGAGGCAGGGGGAAGTTGCAGTTGCCCGGTTGTACACCGATGAAGGGCAGCTCATTGAAGAAGGAGACACGATCGCTGGAACAAGAGCTTTATTAGCCTGACGATTCGGATTCCTGCTCGAACCCATCATCAGAGACAAGAGTAGCTCTTGTCCCAGCGATCGTGTCTCCTTCTTCAAGACTACTTCCTGGGACCCGTCTCTTCGTTTCTGTTGGACAGCTCATTGGTCGTTTCGGCTTCCATCGCGCATCGTACATTCAAGTCAACCGGGATACGTAATTCCCTAAAGAGCCCACTGACAGATGTGTTGGCAACGACGAAGGTTTCATTAACCAAACGAGCCCAGAAACTTGGTCGATATTTAGTGAGCACAAAGTATTATATCCGCAGCAATCCGGGATGGTAGGGTAGAACCAATATGAGTACCATTCTTTTGTTCATACAGTAAAAGAATGTTGTGAAATAATGTCGGATGCTCCGACTTTCGGGGCTTGTCCCTCTCCCCATACTTCCAGTCTGTATTCGACTACCAGCATCTATCGTCGGAAGTTGTGGGATAAAATGGAGTATGAAACGACATCCAAGGAGATCCAGATTCATCTGGCTCTAAGCACAGCTGCTTTACATGTCCGAGGAACTGATTGGAAAGAGTTACAGTTGTTGGTGAATTTTAGGCCAGAAACTTGTGGTACCCAAAAATCCACTTTGTCAAACCATATGTCGGATTGCCACGAAGAGGAGCGATGCGTCTCAGTGGGGCGCATTCGCCACCATCGCAAGCGTCTACGCTCCCCCCCCCCCTCCATGGCCAGCTCCGACGATGCGAGGAACAAGTTCTACGAGAACCTACACCAACTTCTGGCGACTGTGGCGAAGGCGGATGAATTTACTGTCCTTGGTGACTTCAGTCCCCGCGTCGGCAAGGACCATGCTGCCTGGATTCCCACGGTCTCGGCGGCTCCAATGCCAAGGCCTGTTCCTTCTACGAACCTGTGCAGAACGCCGCCTCATTCTGACCAACATTATTCCTTCTTTTTCCGATGCAGGAGAACTTGATGTGGATGCTCCCAAGGTCGCGATACTGGCACCTGCAGAAAAATCTATTCGTCAGGAGGCGGGACCAGCAAGACGTGCTGGTGACGAAGACGATCTCTGATGTCAACGGGTAGACCAACCATCGCTTTGTCAACTCCAAGATGAGGACTCACTTATGGCCACGTAGGATTCCTCGAGGCAAACGACTCTTAGGTGAGCAGGATAATGTCTTGTTGTCTTTACCTGCTCATCATCTTCATTTCAGCAGCGAGCTAGATCCACAGCTGTCCAACCTTCCACACTCCTCCGCCGACGCCACCGCCAAGAACTGTTGGTGTCTACTGAGGGGCACGATCCAGTTAAATGTTCTGACCATCCTCGGCTGAACACGCCACCAACCTCAGGGTGGGTTCCATGAAAATGGCGCCACCATAAGAAGCCTAACGGCCGGGAAGAACCGCCTGCACAAAGCCTACGTCAACAGCCCTACCTCAGACAGCATAACAGCCTTCCAATGTAGTCGTCGCCTCTTGAAACGGCGTCTGTGGGAGATGCAGGACGTTTTGACGGCTCGTAAGGCCGAGAAGGTTCAAGGATATGCGAACCTCAACAAATCGAATAGCCTCTTTGCTGCGATCAAGGCTGTCTATGGTCCTACAGCAGAAGAAACCGCTCCTCTTCCCAGCGCCGATGGAGCCACCCTACTCACTGAGAAGACGTAAATTCTGCAGTGATGGTCCGAGCACTTCATAGGCGATCCCTACTGGGATCTACTACCACGGCGGCTTCAAACTTGTGAATCGGGCACCGGACCACTGTGTTGATTGTCCTGAGCTTTCACATTCGTACAGCAGTTCATCGTCAGAGGTAGCAGCAGCAGAACAAGCGACAGTTATAAGGCATGCAGGCCAATCATCGACTGACGGCGAAAGACTGGAGGTGACTTCGCAGGGCTCTGTACGCCGGCGCCAGGTCGATAAGTCGATTGACCGAGTTCTCATCCGAGGCCCAGGCTTCAATCAATTCTCGGCCTGTTTTCTTTCCGGCGTGGGCGACTATTTTGGTGGCTGCGAGGTCAAACTCGTGGCCCATTTCGTAGGTGTGAGCGGCCACTTGTGCTAATGCGTCGCCTCGTCGCACAGCCAGCTTATGTTCGTGTATGCGCGATCCGAGCATGCGCCCAGTCTGTCCTGTGTAGTTACAAGGACAATTTTGACACGGAATGCTATACACTACTCCAGATTGCTCATTAGGTTTTAACCGGTCACCTCCAGTCTTGCGCCGTCGGTCGATGATTGGCCCGCATGCCTTATGACTGTCGCTTGTTTTACTGCTGCTGCTGCTGCTGCTGCTGCTGCTGCTGCTGCTGCTGCTGCTGCTGCTGCTGCTGCTGCTGCTGCTGCTGCTGCTGCTGCTGCTGCTGCTGCTGCTGCTGCTGCTGCTGCTGCTACCTCTGACGATGGACTCCTATACGAGCCTGAAAGCTCAGGACAATAAAACTGTGTTCCGATGCTCGACTCTTCTTCTTCTCTTATGCATACATCTGGAACTCGAAATTTCGCCTTCATTCGTGAACTTATGATTCACCTGACAGTGCTCTTCCAGGAGATGTGACGTCAAGGGCAGGTCCATCAGGACTTCAAAGGCGCCACAATCGTCCATCTCTACAAGCAAAAAGGGAACCACCAACTCCGTGACTACCACAGAGGCATCCCCTTCTCCAACACCGCCGGAAAGATCTTCACTCGCATCCCCCTCAACTGCCAGAACAACCATCTGAAACAAGGGCTCCTACCGGAAAACCATTTCCATCGTCATCAAGGCAACGTCGTTATGATCTTCGCCACCCGCCAAATACAGGAGAAGTCTCATGAGATGCGGGTCCAACTTTAATCAACATTCGCGGGTCTGCCGAAAGCCTCGTGAATCGCAAAGGACTGTGGAAAATAATTTAAAAGTTCGGCTGCCCCGATCGATACACTCTGATGCTGGGTCAAATCCACGATGACATAACGGCGCGTATTATGGACAACTGAGACATCCTCAGTGTCCAACGGAGTGAAGTAGAGCTGCTTCCTCGCCTCCATCCTCTTAAGTCTCATGTTTCCAACCATGCTGATGGACGCCTACGATGACGAAAGTCCCGGGATCCGCATTGTCTACAGGACGCATGGCCAACTACCCCATCAGCTGCTGATGCAATCTCAGTCGTGTGCATCCAGAACTACCGTCCATAAAATTCTTTTAGCCAGCAATCGCGCTCTCAACACCACCTCAGAAGGGGACATGCAAAGAAGTATGAACCTCTTCGCTGTCGTCTGCGACAACTTTGGCCTGGTCATCAACACGGAGAAGGCGACGGTTATGCACCAAACGCCACCCAAAGTTGCCTACAGTGCATCCCAAATCAACATGAACGACGTCCAAGTGCAAGCCGTGAGCAACTTCACCTATCTGCGAAGCACCCTCTCCCGCAGCACCAAAGTCGATAATGAAATGGCCCACGGGGTTTCTAAGACCATCGGAGACTTTGGCCGCCTGCAAAACACCGTCTGCAAAGCTCACAGCCTCCACCTCGGCACCGAACTTAAGATGCACAAAGTGGTCATTCTGCCGACGCAGCTGCATGAAGCCGAGACCTGGACAATGTAGAAGAAGCAGACGTGGAACTCAAACACTTCCACTTCAACTGTCTTTGATGGATGTTGAAGGTGAGGTGGCAGTACCGGAGCCCGGACACGCACGTGCTGGAACGGACAGGAATCCTCAGCATCTACACAATGTTGAGACAATTGTGTTATGACCCGGCCTGGTACTTGAAAGCACGTGGGAGCGTATGCGTACCCGACTCTTGTCCCCAATACCTACGCGGCAGAGAAGAAGAATGCGACCAGCCGCGAAAATGTGCATTAGGAAATTGCGAGTCAAAATTAACTGGAAGTAATGCATATTTATAACGCCCTACTGTGGTTCGCCGGCATTCAGCCCAATGCCCTTCACGAAGATCATTCCAGACGAGCTGGTCAATAATTCGAATACGCAGATCGATCAGGCCCGAGGGGAAAAGCCAATGGAAAGGCGCCACGATTAAGATGACAGCGCAGTAGAGAAAACGCACGTGGCCTCCAGTGATTGGCTGACTCTTGTTTTTAGGAGTGTTGGCACTCCCAACAAACTGCAAATGCGTTGGAGCGGTCGCCTCGTTCAGATGAACGACGAGCGGCTACTCGAACGACTCTTCTATAGAGATGTCGCCACGGTTCCTGCCAACAAGGAAAGCAAGTCCAGCGCTAGAATGACCCTCTAAAGATTTCCGTAAGGCCCTTCAGATTAACCAGGCCAAATAAGAAGACCTATCCCCGGACGAACCGGCCTGAAGGAGGACAGTGAAGACAGGCGCAGCAATCTACGAAGCCAACCGTATCGCCGCGGACAAAGTCAAACGTGAGGTTCGCAAATCTCAATTGTGCCCACCTCGCAACGCCAACGCTAACGCTCGACCGCCCCCGACTTGCCCACGCTGCCAGCGGACGTTCCGCGAACCATTCGACTTTCTTTGAGGTCTTCGAACCAACTGCAGCACCCAGACGGCCTCAGTTGATATCTCCCCGATTTCGCCTCCGTGTCAAGTACCATCACCTCAATATCTGTTGCGGCGGCTCTTGTACGCGTCACCACTGAACACAATACTGACACACCGAAAAACATCAACCTCACCCCTGTCAACACCAACGATGTAGACTCGAGCCATATCTGTCCGCCTTGCGATTGTACCTTCATCTCACACATTGGCCTGGCCGGTCACTTGCGAATCCCTCGTTCAGAGACTGGCGAACCGACAGTTCGACCGTCGTTGCCGACGGTGTCCTCCATGTGCTCTGCAGCAAGATTCAACAGGTCGGTGACTTATGCTGAATGCCGACTTTCGTAGTATCTACCACACTCTCCTCCTCTCGCCAACTTGACCAGGGTCAAGACAGAGCCAAGAGGACCGGGAGGGGTAGGGCGCAGGTGAATGTCACGATCGAATCTCCACGCTGGCGTTTCGCTCCACAAAGACAACAATTGACCAGGATTTGAACCAACAGTACCACGATGGGTCAGAAGGAAGAGGATGACTTGGCAGCCATGATCCCGACCTGTTTACCTTGCGGGCTTGTAGCCGCATCTACCGGCAGGTAACCAGGTGTCAGAGGACTGTCAGCGCGTACCAGGCTGCGAGCGTCGTGGTTTGCTGATCCTAGCATAGCAGACGCTTACAGACCTTTATGACCAGAACGCTGACACTTGGCCCTGCATTAGCCCATGACGTCACCCTCCAGGGCTGGGTAACCAAAAAGTGGATAAGAGAGCGAGAGGCGCTACGATAAAGCACACACACACACCCTCCTCACATGCGTGAGTGTCACAGATCCCTCAGGAGGGGGACGTGACAGCCTGGCACTCATCCCGCCAGTCCGCCACTCAACACAAACACACGTGACTGAGCTGACCGCGTGTTCTGAGTTGGAGCGTCAGCCGACAGCCCTCCAAAACGGCGAACCAGTGCCTCCAATCTCAACCTACACTCGCCGCGCTCGCCTCCGCAGTAGCTGATGGATTTCGGCTCAAATATTCATATCAAAATTTGGACCGTGCCTGAAAAGGCCCGTTTCGAAAGATTTACTCCAAGTTCGCGCAATAATTTCCTCGGAAATTAAACAAGGCAAATGGACCGATTTGTTTAACAGGCCAGACTTTGAGTGAAAAAAGCGCGTGCGAAATTGGGATTTACTCAAAAGAGAAGAAGTGTTCAAGTTGACCTTCTCATTTTAAAGTCCGGTAATTCATGCAGCAGATGTGCAGTGAATTGACATGAAAGGCTTGAAGCTAATATGTTCCGCCCCATTAGCGGAAGGCAATATCGATGATAAAAACTCACAAGATTATATAAGGTATGCTGATATCACGTGCAGCAATAACCTCATCAGATCGCCTGAGATGCGACCAATTTTTAGAAGTGTGGACGCTAGTTTTAGACAGCATTGTTATTGCTCAATGACGCAACTACTAATCGATTGCTCACAGTGTTGCAATCCACGCAGTTTGATGACGTTCATCAAAACGCTGAAATCCGCTCAGTTGGACAACCTTCAAGGTTGTCAAAACACTAGGCCATCCAAGAAAAGTTACGTGCACGTGCTGCGATCGATGTTACGCTACGTGCTGAGAGCGATCGATTTTATCTCGTCAGGTGTGCAGGCGTCCAATGGTCCAGGGCCTGCCAACTCCGTCCTCCAGGCACGCGTAGGGCGTGCTTGCAGCAGTGGGGCTTACCTATTCAAATAGTGCCGACTCAGATAATCATGCTTTGAGTTGAATCCCACTGATGCGAAAATCCGCAAAAAAATTTCCACTACGCTGATTTTATATGTTGCGGTAATTTCGTCAGATCGAATGAGATGCGGAGTACTGTTCTGATCTTGACCGCGTTGTTATCGTTCGACGACGCAAACACGCATCGATCTCGCACGCCGCTACAACCCGCTCGACAGCATTTAAGGTTATCAAAACACTAGGTCATCCGAAAAAATTCACGTGCACGTGCTGCAATCGATATCACGTTACGTGTTGAATGCGATCGATTTTATCTTGCCAGGTGTGCATGCGTCTCATGGTCCAGGGCCTATGAAATCCGAGTAAGCTGCCAAAAGGGGTCTGTCCGTCAGATACGCATGGGTGGTGCATGCAACAGTGGGACTTATTCAGGCAGACAGTGCCGACTCGCATAATCAAATCTTGAGCATAAACGCAGGATATTGGCAAAATAGACAGTAACAGTTAAAAGGGTCAATTACAGGGGCGAAATGTCTCACAAATATTTCATTAAGCTGTTCTACTATAGTTTGTGGTCTGGCTACAGCGTATATTCCGTATAGTCTTAAAGCGCTTTCCAATAAATTGATGATAGGGTCCGGTATGGTTGTGGTGAGGTGCCGGACTAATTTACCTTTGACTATTTAGTCCCATTTTCTTTGACCGTATTGCTTGTTTGAATGTGGCGAGAAACGACACACCTGTACAACCCGCCTAGCGAGCGTGCTCCGTCGTCGTCTGTTGTCAGTTTCCTTAACGTTTAAAATCTCTATATTATTCATTGCTCCGTTTTACTTACTGCCTTTAAGACTAGGGGCTCGTGAGATATAACTCGTTACTTCGTGAGAACATTAGCTTTTACGACATTTGTGACTCCCGACGTTAACGCAGACTTTATACCTTTCTGTCATACTGGATAACATTTAACCTTCCATTTGCTTGTGAATATCTATTCCATTTGCATTTACTTTTCTCACGAATTCGGATATTTTGCCATCTCTGTTCTATTATGTCTCACTCCAATCAACAACTTGATGCCCCCGCCCAGTCCCTTCATGCCATCAATTTTACCTTGCCTGAATTTTGGCAACACGCTCCAGAACTTTTCTTCATCCGCATAGAATCAGCCTTTTATTCTGCCAACGTTACCAAGGGGCTAGCAAAATACCACAAACTGATGGAGGTTATCCCGGCTAGTGTTATCTCTTAAGTTCAATTCTTGCTAGCTAATCCTCCTGCAGATGCTCCCTACTCCGCATTAAAGGCAGAAATTCTCCGACTTAATTCTATGTCCGACCGACAGCGGTATTACCGGTTAGTTAAGGAGGAGTCACTGGGTGACCGGAAGCCCTCAGAGCTTCTACGTCGAATGCGTTCTCTCCTTGGAGACATGCAGGTCGACGATAAATTTGTCAAGGAGATGTTCCTAGAGCGTCTGCCCGCAGATGTTCAAACGATCCTTGCGTCCGGCTTTCAAGATCTTACGGTCTTACAGCTGGCTGAGATGGCGGATCGAATGATAGAGGTGCAGCGGTTCCAGTCACCTTCCGTTGTCCAGATCTCATCCTCATCGTCAGTGAATGAATTTTTAGTGAAACAGGTGTCGGCCATGGCGGACGAGATGGCCTCCCTTAAAATACAGCTCGCCCGCCTTTCTTCCAGTCGCTCACGCAGCCGTCGTCGTTCTCGTTCGCAACCTCGGACTGTCGATACTTGCTGGTATCACACTAATTTCGGCGAAAAGGCCCGTCGCTGTTCCTCGCCTTGCGCTTTTAATCCGAAATAGGGAAACCAGTCAGCCAGAGAATAGATGCGACCGTTTTCTCTGGCTCTTCCGGCTCTGGTCGCACCTTCTATGTTTGTGACATTGCGACTTTCAGACGTTTCCTGGTGGACACTGGAGCCCAAATCAGCGTTGCTCCCCCCAACTGCAGCTGATCGTCGTTTCCCTAGCCCTGGTCTTCACCTTCAAGCTGCCAACTGTTCCCCCATTCCCACTTTTGGCAGTTTGTCCCTCACTCTGAACATTGGCCTTCGTCGGTCATTCACCTGGATCTTTGTGATTACTGATGTCCCTCATGTAATCCTCGGCTCGGACTTTCTTGCCGAGTTCGATCTCCTTGTTGACTGCCGACGTGCCCGTCTCATCGACCGCACTACCGGTCTGTTTGTTCGTGGAATAACTCCTTTTACTGCCCCCGCCAACTTATCTGTCTTGGATACGGATATTGCTACTGACACACCGAAAAACATCAACCTCACCACTTTCAACACCAACGATGTGGACTCTATCCATATCTGTCCGCCTTGCGATCGCACCTTCATCTCACATATTGGCCTGGTCGGTCACTTGCGAATCCCTCTCACAGATACTAGCAAACCAACGCTGCAATCCTCTCAGTTTGACAACGTTAAAGGTTATCAAAACACTAGACCATCTGGGAAAAGCTATGTGCACGTGCTGCGATCGATATCACGTTACATGTTGAACGCGATCGTTTTTATCTCGCCAGGTGTGCAGGCCTCCCATGGTCCAGGGATTTCTTTACCGCGCTGACCGGGATTTTGTGTCGATGGGTGAAAAATAGCGACAGTGAAATTAGACGAATGAGCTTCCAGGCACGAGTGCGTAAGTTGGCCATTGGTTAGCTCACACTCCAGTTATGCTTGATTCTACTGTTCTGAAGGGAGATCCTTACACTGTGTCTCCCAAAGGTCACATGTGTCGTTGTGATGGAGACCGAAGCGCAAATTTATGCCGGGGTCCTGATTTCCTGGCGTCCTTATTCTGGAACTAGAAGTCCGAATATGCAACAGTCCCCCGTGTTGAGTCGACGGGGACTACACGCCGTAAGTTATTGGCTAAGGAGACAGAAGTTTACCCACATATGCGAGCGTTTACTATTAATCGACACTAACCAATTCAGCAGTTCGGATATCTCACCACGCACTCACATCGTTAACTCTACATTACGAGAGAGAAATCATCTTGGTCACATTTTATGTGCTCTAAAAAGAGCATACTTTGTCAATCTTTGGTGCCACACCAAAAACTCTTTCCGTCACCATCGTTTATAAACGTTAACTCACCAGGAAATAAACGCAAAAACTAGATGGTTAAAATTACAACTAATATGGGTAACGTTTTAAGCGTCAGCAACAGGTGAACTACCAACCTATCAGCCAAGTTGGTGCTTTAAACTCTGTACTGGGTCACATTGTTCGCGATGTGAAAGACGGCCTTATTGTTGAAAAATCGGCCAAATACGAGCGCTGGAACGAGCACTTTAAGCATCCGGCAGAGTTTTATCCCTCTTTACCCTGTCATAACCAGCCCCGCCTAGCCCCATCAAAAATGGTGGGGCTAGAGGGGGCTATGAAGGGGCTAGGCGGGGCTGTGGAAGGGGCTTTGGCGGGGCATTCAACACGACAGCCCCGCCTGGCTGCACCAGCGAAATAAAATTCACATGTACGCGGGAACAGCAGAGGATCAAGTTTATTAGCGCCAAATGGCCATGTGTTGAGGGGACCAATTAGCCTTTGGGCCTGGTCAACCTATAATTTACCTTGCCAGCACCAGCCCCGCGTAACCCCCTCAAATATGGCCGGGCTAGAGGGGGCTATGAAGGGGCTTGGCGGGGCTGTGGCGGGGAATTCAACACGATAGCCCCGCCTGGCCCCACCAACGAAAAAAATGCGCAGGGGACGCCAGATTTCCACCCACTTTTGGCACGCCTTTAAAATATCGACCCGTATGATGAGTACCCTGAGGCGCACACAGATAATACCTGCCGGCAGAAGTTACAGAACTCAGAATAGGCATTTCTCGTTCAGGGGATTGATTGCCAACTGCTGTCGACGTTGAGGGAACCTCAGAATCAGACTCTTCAGTGGCCTCATAATATGCTTTCATCTGGTGCTTAATGCGCATGTATATGGTGGTTCGATGAGAGCCACAGTAATTACGCTTCATTATTGCTTTCGATACTCAGTAAAAAAGGTAAAAAAATTTGTATAAGTGGACTATGAACACCAATCCTAACTAGTACATACATAGACATACAAGTCGACTACTTGAACTGGTTTGTGAGTAAATACCCAAACAATTAGCATAAGATACATAAATCAACTAAGACACTTATTAAGAGTATGAAAGCAGCATTGATTGACGCACGATATTTTCCGCGACCCGTGGGCGTAAACGGATGCTTTTGCCATGATTTATAAGCCACTTTTGAGAAATTAGCTCCTTTTTTATGCCAAAGAAGGTACAATGAGTGGTGCTTTCGAAACATAACTTTCGATGCAAATGCGCTTCAAATGTTTCAATCCAGAGGGGGCTCTGACCCCACCCAGCCCCTTCCTAGCCCCGCCTATGAAGGGGCCATGTGCTGGCAGGGTAGCCTAGGAAGTGTCGTGCCTGAACCCACCTCAGGAAGATGCCTTCTATGCAATACGGAGGCAGCAGAACAAAAAGGCGTTTTTGAGAGGGCGGTTATCTTCCTAAAATCTACAATTCGTGTACTGTCACTATGGCGTCCTGGCACCGGTAAATGATTGGGCGGCTTATAAGTGCCGTCGCAGCATGAGTCCAGTCGAGTTTGCTGCGAAGGCTTTCTTTGTTATAATTTTGAGGCGATTTCAATGTGAACGGGAATATGCGGGCGAGGCAGTCACGCTGGGACACATTTTTGAATTCATCCATGACTAGCAGCAATCGACAGCTGCCTACTTTGTTTAGTCCGCCGCAACGCCCGATTCAATTAACTGCGAGTCCCTATGAGGGGACTAGATGGCATGCCGACAAAATCACCCCCATAGTCAGAGCCTGTTATCGATCCAGCAGTACACAAGTCCTGGTCCAAAATAATCCCCTTCACCCAGTTGGTATTAGAGCGATCGTTCGATAAGGCTGCATATTATCGTTCATTGTGCTCAATTAGGCTATTAACTGGATTATCAGAGGGATATCACATGATTTTGACAATGCTTCTGCTTGTAGCTCCGTCAATCCGGTAAAATGTTATCACTGAGCTCTTGGACGACCAGACCGGAGATTTCACGTCCTTGTCAATGTCAGCTGAATCTCCTGGTGCTGAGAGAGTCCCTACCAAGATTTCCGGTTTTGGCACTGTTGCATTTGCACCCAATCGCCGGATTACCGATCTCGGCCACATCAACAATACAGACTGGGAATCAGCTTTTTCCGGAAATATAGTGGAGGACTGGAAATGGTTCAGTGAATTATTGCATGTTCTCCTGACGAACCCCTACCCGCTTTCACAGAAGAGGCTAGACAATTGACCTTGGTGGCTGACTCAGGCGTTAAGAAACGATGTAAGTAAAAAGCGCAGATTGTGACAGAAATCTCTCACCGATGGGAATCGTGTATCCATAAACGCATACAAAGCACAGAGGAACTTAGTCAAGCTGTTTACCCTCAAGATACGGCAAAATTTTGAAAAAGGCCTATTGAATCGTGCTGTGGAAAATCCGAAATTATTCTACAGCTACATTAGAAGCAATGCACAAAATAGGGATTCAGTCCACTTCCTGAAGACAAGCGAAGACGTAGAAATTACTGAGAATGGAGAAAAAGATGAGCACCTTTCACGATTTTTTGAATCTATCTTTATGAGTGAAAGCACATTTACTCCTCCCGACTACGACTTCGATGAGGGTCCAAGAATCGAGGCTGTATCTTTTGATGAGACGACTGTTCGAAAAGAGCTAATGACGCTAAATAAGTCGAAATCACCAGGTCCAGACGACATACCACCTAAGTTGCTGAAGGAGCTCGCTGCTGAACTAGCCAAACTACTGTCCATGCTTTTCAAAGCCTCGTTCGAAGCCAGCTGTTTACCCGCCGACTGGAAATCTGCGCGGATCACACCGCTGTATACAGGAGGCAGCAAGGCCTCCGCAAACAATTACAGACCAACTAGCCTCACCTCCATCTGCAGCAAAATCAAGGAAAAAATGATTAAGCGAGAGCCAATGTACTTCCTAGAGTAGCATACTCTATTATCTGATGCGCAGTATGGGTTCCGTATTGGCAGGTCTTGCGTGACTAACTTACTCTACTGTTTGGAACGTTGGACTCGGTCGGTGGATGAAGCCAATGCGCTGCATGTAGTCTGTATTGACTTTAAAAAGGCCTTTGTTAGTGGCCCACATCAACGACTCCTGCACAGACTGAACCGAAAAGGCGTTAAGGCTAACCTCTTAAAATGGATCCAAAGCTTCCTATTAGACCGTTCTCAGACTGTCCATGTCGGTGGCCAGCAGTCGACGGAGGTTGCCGTTGAAAGCGGTGTTTTCCAAGGCTCAGTTCTTGGTCCTACTCCGTTCATTATTTACATCAACGATTTCGTTAGTGAACTGGACTCTGGTGCCGCCATGTTCACGGATGATAGTAAGCTCTGGAGCGTCATCCGAACTGCGGGCTCCAACAGTGGTCAAAAAACTGGTTTTTGCCGTTCAGTGAGAACAAGTGCAATATTCGACGAGTCGGCATAGCCCGCTCTCCGAACCACATGGTTTACTGTCTGAATGGTATACCACTGCAAGAAGTGGACCCGCAGAAGGACTTGGGAATATGGATTACGACCTCGCTCAAACCCTCGCTGAACTGCACGAAGGTAGCCAAGTCTGCAATGTCACTTGTCTACCTTGTCAAGCGGGCTTTCTCTGTCTTTTATGAAGACTGCTTCGCTAAAATCTTTCGAACTTTTGTGCGGCCGCAACTAGAATTCGATATCCAAGCTTGGAGACCCTGGACGGCAAAGGACTTCAGCATCCTCAAAAGGGTTCAAAGGCATGCAACGAAACTTGTTACAGGACAGGGTTCACTACCATATGCAACGCGGGTCGCTAACCTTGATCTCTTTCCGTTGAGTTACAGGCAGTTACGGGGTGACCTGATACAGACCTTCCGTATCATACGCAGTCAGGACTGCAGCCTCGTACCGGCGGACTTCTTCAAGTTATCAACCACCACAAACCTACGAGGTCATCCATTCAAACTACGTGTGACCGTGGCCAGGCTGGACACACGAAAGTTCTTCTCTAACAGAGTGCTTGAAGCTTGGAACGCCCTACCTCCGGATGTATTTATGTCTACTTCCGTCGAGGTCGTTAAGTGGAGGCTGGATTTGTATAGCAGTGTCCACTAAATGACCACCCGACGTCTGCAACCTTGGCAAACACCGTTGTTACAATACTACTCGCTATACTTCAGTAACATTTTAAATTTAACTTTTATTGTCTCCAATCCATCGCCTACGCTTACTGGCATGAACCTGTGCATTTTTTGTCACTGGGGGTATTATTTTTTTCCCTGAACTCAAAACGACCACTGTACTACTGATCGTACCACTAACACTCGAGACAATTTGTTTTTCTGTACAGAGTTGACGCTTTTCCGATTATTTGTTACCTTTATGATACCTTTTCCAGTTTTTGAGGTCTTGCAGTTGCTTGAAAACAAATAGGGAGTTCAAAAGTGAAGACCTACATTTCCCTCAATAAAACTGAACAAAACTGAATGTCGAAAAATATGGGCGGGGAGGGCATGCAGTATTGGCACAATGCATGTTATGATATTCTATATTAAAAACTAGTTAATGGGCGTTAGCGGACTGGACACCATGAAAATAAAATCACTTTCAGTAGTATAGGATGTTCGTGGTGATTTTTAAGAGTGTAGATAATGTGACAAGGCAGGCCAAGTACTTCATTGAGGTCGTTTGCTCACCTTCTAGACATAGGATTGGTCTCTGGAATGAAAATTTTAACGCAAACACGCCTTCTATTTCGGGGTGGACCTCTGTTAGGTAATGTTTTCCAATGTAAAGGTCGGTTCGTGCGTTTGGTTGCGTTAAATGCATCCGAGTTAGACCACTGTGTAAATATTTTGTTTGAAGAGTTTGAGGTTCCAAGCCTAGATACTACCTACAGAATTAGCTCTGAAACAGTCCACATTTCTATCAGGCATGATATTCTACTTTTTTTGCCTTCCACCCCTCTCTCTACTCACTTTTGCCAATTATTATTGCTGTATTTATTACGGCATGGCGCACTCACTTCGTACGCGTAGAATTAAGTCGGCTATCGCGCCCATATTTCCCTTGTCAGTTCTTAATAAAATATTACTATTGTGAAACTTGTACAGCTAGGAGACGATATCATCTCAGGTAGCAGATAAACGTAGAAGAAAACGTTTCTAGGAGGAATGAGTAGAGAACGATTGGAGATGGTGAGCATATAGGGGATGGGATGCCTAAGCTTGAGCAACAGCAGGTAGTGGTCATCTCAAGCAAACGGAATTATTCAACATGTGGGAGCTTGTAACAACCTATTAGCCTTGAACATTCAGTCCCACAACCATTCACAACACGTCCATTTGCACTGTTTGCAATCCAGAGATAAAAGGATACTCTTGATGGAAGAGTCCCTTATTCTGCCTCTTAAGTCACAGAAATTCTGGAATCGATTATTACCCTGCCAGCACTAGCCCAACCCAGCCCAGTCCGGCCCAACTGGTCTACGGTTGGGTTACAAGGTCGGGCCACGATGTGGCAAGGGCGGATGTGGCCCGATTGGCCCAATCAAATGGCCATAACCATTTGTCAAGAAGGAATCTGGAACGCAGATGATAAACAAAGAGTTTTTCATGAGAGAGCTGATGGTCACTAACTAAGGGCAAATAAAATGGGGTAACAATACCATAGTTTTGTTCTAAAATCTGGATTTACGAAAATAGAACATCATACTTACATATATGTAAGTCGATATGCGTAAATATTCGAGGTCCAGACATTGTATCGTGTTCATCATCTCCCGAAGAAGACAAAGAAGAAGAGAGGGCGAATACATGGACCATATTGTATTCGAACTGACGTTTCGGAAACTTTCTCGTTTCCATCATCAGACAGCGTAATTGTTGCACTTGCCGGTCTTGAGTTGTTCAGTCTTGCCGCTTGCCTCGTAATATAGCCGTGCTCGACGCACGAGCTTTGACCTGCCTGTTTGCCACTGACTGGCTTAGACCTCTCCGGGGCTGACCGCTGACAGGCCTGCGTGACCTTTGTTCCCTTTGGGATCGACGTAATTGCGGTCAAATCAACGTGCCGCTTGGCCTCTCCCACGTTAGCCGGTGGACCGATCGGTTGCTGCTGTTCAGGTGAGCAGCATTCAGCTTCGCGGGCGCATCGGTGAGACAGTGTTCGGCTTCGGTCACATGACCCCTGACCCCCAATTCCGCTCTTTTCTGTGAGCGTTGACTCTCGGTCCCGCGTGCCCGCTTGCCTAACTGGTCCTGTCCGGACTGATCCGAGCCTTGTACAAAGCGCCTGGTAGGTGGGATGTAGATCTATAGCTCGAGTGGGTGTACCAGTCGTGGACCAACTTTCGAGCACCAGTCTGGCCATTTTCCCATTGGCTTGACGAATTACCCTCGCTTTCTCAAAGGCAAAATCGTGGTTCAGTTGTCTTATGAGGCCATAGACCAAAGACAGCTAGTCCTTACGGTTGATTGCAAGTTGGTATTCGTGAAATCTTGCACCGAGGCGTTTGCCCGTTTCACCAAAATACCTCGCATTACAATTTAGGCATGATATGCTGTAGACCACCGCCGACTGTTCTGTTATTGGTAGCGGGTCTTTGGGCTTCATGATTTGCTGTCTGATGGTGCATTCTGGTATATGAGCCATGCCAATCCCAAGAGGCTTCAAAATTCTTGCCGTTGTCTCTGATACTTTCTTTGCATAGGGTATTGAGAGCCAGAACTTGGGCTTTTCTCCACTCGACCGCTCAAAATGCAGCTTTTTGGGGCAATTGTGTATGGAGGACTTCGGGTAGCCGTTGGCTTTAAAAAGGGAGACGATTAACGCGATATAAGTAAGTATGATGTTTCGCTACTTTATAAAGTAGCGAAGTGTGAAAGTACTCAAAACGGCAAAAACACAAACAGTCACGACTGCGACGCATCTGATCAGGAAATTATTGAACAATTTACGCACACCAACAATAAATGCGACTTGTGAATGGAAAATCTTAGATTTCTGCTGGAATATAATCAATCCTACAGCAGCATTGAAGTTATCCTTCCTAACAGAGAACGCATTTGGATAACATCTGTTACGACCGGTCACTGACTGCACATGTTGAGGAATATTAGCCACTAGGATGCCCGAGACCAGACCGCCAATAACAACTGCAACTGAAATTTATCTAGGGAACAAAAGTAGTCCTATTTCGAGACGCCGTGCAGAATAGCGTTAAGAGGCACAGAATTAATATGCTGTAGCAGCTATTAATGAGCTGTTTGGCTGAGATAGTGGAAGTACGCAACAACCACAATCTCAGGACCAAGTTGTCTTGAGGAAAGGGGTTGATGAGCAATCGCAGCAAATGCGTTCCGTGTGGGACTCCCCACTAGTACATGCCCGTCAGTCAGAGCTGTGCAGGAGTAGCGAACTCCTGACAAAGCCCGTCACAGTTACATGTGGTAAATCGAGAGACGAATTGGCTCCCTGCCGTGCTTGACTGTCCTTGTGAATGCAGAACTCGCACAAGTGGTGACTGCATGACTCAGACGTGCTATGGCGCAAAAGATTTTGGTAGCAGTCTGGTCTACAAAATAAGTGGAAGATATGTGACGAATATAAGGGTGAATAAGGCGTAAGGGTGCTCGAGAACAATAACGGATAAACAAGTACTGGACTTGAATGTCCTCCCCGCTGCTTCGTGCTCAGTCATACGCGTACGGAGTAATCTCGCGATTTCTCGGACGTAGTTGCTTAGTCCGTAACTTTACCAGATCCGGCAAACGACTCCAGGCGTTTCCTGTCGTGGCAGCGAGTCCTTCGGCCTCATGGCGTGGTGCCTGATTGTTGGCTTCGGCCTGTCTGCAACCCAAACTCCGAGTGGATTGAGAAGGCGGCTGTTGGCTTCCGAGACGTTCCTCACGTATGGAATAGCTCGCCAAAATTAAGGGGCGGTTGGATTTTGTCTCTGGTCTCGTTTGCGTATGCACTGGTTGCCAAAGTTGCGCGGATAGCCATTGGCTACCCGTACCCGTCGGAGATATTGTAATTAAGCAAGTCCTCTTCTCTTTCACTCTAATGCGTCTCAATGCGCCGGTATAGGCCTTTACGTAATTGGTCAAACCATGGAATGCCCTTCCCGCAGATGTTGTGATGTCACCATCAATACAAAGTTTTAAAAAGAACCTTGAAATATTTATGTTCCGAAATGACCAAGAGCGATGAGAAGTCGAGCTCACCCGCTGTAAATCTTTTTCACTTTGTCCTACTATTATGGGCTCGTTTGAACTATCTTATTCCAGGACGTTTATCTGTATACCACACACATTCGCGTTGTAAATAGGGTACTCAAAGGCTTACGCCTATAGCCCTCAATAAACTAAACTGAACTACAGACAACCTCATGTTCCTGTTGGCACGTGCCCATTTAAGGGGGGCACGATGGGGCCAGGTGTGGTGGACAACCCTCCTATTTTGGGCAGTTTACAGGAATCTTACAGAAACAAATTCACGTGCGCACGACTGCATTTTGCGGCTTATAGTATATTCCAATGAAAATGTGAAATACTACCTACGGGTGTCGTAAGCGTTTACCTCGCCGACTTCGGAAAAGTGCTGCTGCACGCATGAACGGACTGCGCTGGTTAGTATAAGTCGTTAGACTATACCTTTGTTGCAAAAGCTGACAATTAACAATCGAAGTCCTGATTTTACGTATCTTCAATTGTTGAATTAAAAACGGAATGCAGGAAAAACTGGCCGACCTGTGGAGATGCCGGGGATCGAACCCGGGGCCTCTCGCATGCGAAGCGAGCGCTCTACCACTGAGCTACATCCCCACAAGTGCGCCCGACAAATATTATCAATAAGATTTATTTATACTCTATTCATAGCATTAAATATGATGTTTTCCAGTTAACGTTATGCGTTTTAATTCACTCAACCCCACTAGTTCCTTCCATTTCACCATAAGGACTACATGCGCGGACTTTTGGGCATTCGCTTCGTATCAACAACGGAATACTCTACTGTTTAAAATTCACCGTGTATGTACGAAGCCAATACAGTTAGCAAAAAAATAACAGAATTAAACTAAAAGAAATCTGAGATGGCCTTACGCTTGACACCTTGATCATTACAGCTCACTTTACTGAATTGATTATGAACATTAGAATTTTTACGGGTCATATTGATTTTACCTACAGACCCACCACTCTGGTGAAAATACTGCACTATTGTAATACTCGGCCGCCCCTATGTCTCCGCTTCTGCTGGGATGGCCCAAGAGATAAGCAGGCCTTCGTCGGCAGCCTCCTTTATGGCGTTGTTATTGGTAGGTTATATATTTAAGTTTACTTGTTCAGTTGCAATTCGTGAACACGCCACCTTCTCCAATTGCGCCGTAGACACAGTTCGCAAGAGCACAACTGGTTGGTTCCACGGGGCGCGACTCAGATACGGTGGCATATCAAAACGCGGAGACAATAACACGAAGGTAAATTAATTGACTTGTGTCGTTGTAACCTACTTTCAACTTCCCTTAGGCACCTGTAGAGCCGAAACATATCAAACATAGTCCCCTTCCGAAGACACTGTAAGTACGCGTTTCTATATATCTTTAAAACGAGCAATAATCACAGTGACAGTGGGCCAATTAGCCGAGCAATCGTCATACCAGCATCCGGCACGGATGACAAAACCACGGCAATTGACGACTCGGACTCGGACCGACAAGCCACCACCACATCAATTATGACCCCAGCGGTGATTGCGAGAACTGTTAATTGCAGTGCGCATACGGTCCACGGCAGCCACTTGCTATAAATACTGCACGCCTGGTGCCTGGGCAGACTCGATTCCCACAATAGATGTCTTAAGCGTTGACAAACAAAAATTACCTGGCGCAGAAGCTATCTCGCCTAAGCCTCTTGGCGTAAATGACGGGAATTCTCTTCTGCCTGGAGACGATATACCTGGGTCATCCAGTCTACTGTTGCCCTCTTTTTCTCTCAACCACCCCGAGCGCACTATAGAGCACGTATCTGAATGCGAAGACACGAACACGTGGGTAGAGGGGAGAGGGAAACGCCATGACAAGAGTCTGAAGTCACAGCAAGACCTGATGGGTTGCTCCGGACATTCGTAGACAGCAAAAGTGTGCGTCTAAACGACGACTCCGTAAATCGTCCTCGCTCACATGCAGTGAATTCACCGGAAAGACAAATTAAGTAGGACCATACTCACCAGCAGTGTCTGGTTATTCAGGGTTTGTCGGATTCCAATGCAGTTAGACCTGAAGACCGTGTCTCGGAGGACCTTGCTTCTTTTCATGGTCCACTAAGTCAGTTACTCCAGGCAGACATTGAAATAAAGGTTCTGAAGGCCTTCCGGATAGGAAAACGGAGTGAAGATAGGACAGCAGCACAACCACCTCGCCCTCTAAAAATTATGCTGAAGAACAAAGAGCAAGTCAATTTGATCCTCTCTTAAAAAACGACCTCAGAAACATACACAAACAGGTTTTTTCAACCGGACTATTCGCCAGCAGAACGGCTGAAACGCCGGGAACTTGTCTTGGAGTTAAAATCAAGACTGAAGGATGGCGAACACAATCTGGCTATCTTCAAGGGGAAGGTAGTTCGGAAATATATGCCGTTTCAGTGGAACCAGCCTATAATACTAAGAACGACGGCAGCTATTCAGCTAACACAGATAGCTTCGTTTAACCACCTGCTCAAGGTGGCAACACAAGTAAGCGCGTAATGTCCAGTGATCTGACTGAAGCAACGCATATAAATGGAACCCCTCAGCTCAGAGAACATGGCGTTCGAGATAACGGAGTAATGCTCAAAACAGTAACAAATGCAACGGGAAAGTCGGCTGGTGCAAAACTGAGGTGCTTGTACACGAATGCCAAAGGCCTCATATCGAAACTAGACGAGCTAAAACCTTGCCTTGCCGAGCTGTCTCCAAATGTTTAAGTAGTAACCGAGACCTGGCTGTCCGGAAATACTAGCGATAGCAAAGTAGCCTTGCCTGGATACCAAATTAATCGGATGGACAGGGAACATCGTCAGGGCGGTGGTATAGTTGTCTATGTAAATGAAGGCCTGACAGTGTCGGAAAACACCACCAAGTTTGCGTGCGGCACGGAAGCTATTTGATTGGCCATCAAGGCTACCGGTTCCCCATGTCTCCATGTCCTCACTGTCTACCGACCACCTAGGACAGACCAAATCGCAGACATGCAACTATTGGAGCAGTTGGAGAAATTTTCCAGTCGACCTAACGTCACGATCATGGGCGACTTCAACGTACCAGGAACAAACTGGAATACCCTCCAAGCGTCAGGTACAAAATCGTCATTCGATTGCCGTCTGCTGAACAAAAACATTTAAGGCGTCCCTCACGCAACATGTAATGCTCCCAACGAGAACACGTGAAGGACAAAGGGCAAACTGCCTTGATCAGCTTTTTACGAAAACACCAGACAGCATAGACGAGATCACCTCCATGCCGCCTCTTGGCCGAAGTGATCACGTGGTGCTTATGTGGGATTATTCGTTATTCTCCATTTCGCATTCTCCAGACCAAAAAAGACGGAATGTTTGGCGAGGCGACTTCAATCAGATGAGGAAAGACTTATCCAGTCTACTGTACGCCATCAAGCGAGCGTATATGGACTTTGACGAAGATACTTTCTCAAGGACATTCGAAACATTCGTCCGGCCGCATTTAGAGTACGGCATGCGAGGCTGGAGACCGTGGGCGGTTGAGGATCAAAACTGCCTCAAAAGAGTCCAGAGGAGAGCCACGAAGATAATTAGGGGTCAAAGCTCCTTTCCTTATGCAACCCGTCTAGTTAATCTAAACCTCCTTCCTTTGAGTTACAGACAACTTCGCGGGGATCTTTTGCAAGCCTTCCGCCTCGTAAAGGGGTTGGATTGCAGTCCGGCCTCCGAGGGCATTTTTGAATTTGCTACAACGACCAACCTCCGAGGTCACCCGTTAAAACTGCGTACTCAGCAGGCAAGGCTGGATGTGCGGAAGTTCTTCTTCTCTGTTCGAGTGGTCAAGCCGTGCAATGCCCTCCCCGCAGATGTTGTGATGTCACCATCTATACAAAGTTTTAAAAAGAATCTCGACATATTTATGTTCCGAAATGACCAAGAGCGATGATAATTGGAGCTCACCCCCTGTAAGTCGTTCTCTTTTTGTCCTACCATTATGGGCGTGTTTGAACTGTTTCAGGCCAGAACATTTATCTGTATATCACACATTTCTTACGTTGCAAATAGGGTACTCAAAGGCTTACGCCTATTTCCCTCAATTAACTGAACTAAACTGAAAAAAATTCTTTCCACCTAATGACAACCTCACAAATTACTTCGGCTTTTACGCCTCTCCAACTGAATCTCCATTTGGGTACAATTACCACCTAGTTAACCCACCTCCCCATATGTACACTCAATCCATAAACACTAACCCATGCACTCAAATTTCGCCATATGCATTACCATATCCTCCATGAACCACCTACTTACCGCCATGTAGTCCATCACTCAATCAAAGTACCCTCAGAAATTCTTTTTTCACCACAGCCCACCTCTTTCATATCCGGCATCCTAAAGATAGCTCTTATAAATTCGAGATCGATTGTCAATAAAATACCCCAACTTAGAACTTTTGTTGAAATATATAACCCCGATATAATTTGCATCACAGAAACATGGGCGAATGAACTTATATCGAATGCTTCGCTATATATCCCAAATTATAATTTCTATCGACAGGAGCGTGTTAGTAAACGAGGCGGAGGTTTTCTTGTCTACATCAAAACTAGCATTGAACAAAGTGGTATTGACGTCCCAACTGAAACCTTCGCTGGAGAAGCGTGTTTTGCCATAATAAAATCTCATGCCCAGGAAAACATACTAGTCGGATGCCTCTACTCCCCTCTAGAATGTTGTTATGATGACACAAGTCTCATCCACTTAGTAAACGATGTAGCTAACATGAAAACTGAATATAAGGTAATCGCAGGCGGCCTAAACCGCCTAGAAATAAACTGAGTCGAAGTATCGTCACCTACCAGGCACGAAGAACTGTTATCTTCAACTATCTTTAATAACTGGACACAAATAGTTGACGAACCCACCCGAGGAAACAATATATTAGGCGTTATTTTCACCAACGGCATCTGGCCCCTCCATATGCACTACGACTGCGTAACCTCTGAAAGTGACCACAAAGCCATAATATCAACACTCCCCTTAAATGCAAAACTAGCACCCCATTTTAGTAACACCCGCCTAAACCTAAAAAAACTTGACAAAGACTCCATGAACAACTATATTAGGTCATTGGACTGGAGCTCATATCTTCTAACAACATTCCCTATGGAAGCAGTTACCCTATTGTACTCTTCTCTATTTATAATTCGACACACCTTGATAGACGAAAGACTCCCGTATAAGAAACCACTACTCCCACAATTCCTTTCAACTAAGCTAAAAAACTAAAAAACAGCTATACAACACCTCTGTTAGTTATTTATCTACACTTCGACGAATTAGGGAAATTCAAAACCTAGTTACGAAAATGGGAACGCAAAACACCATAGCAGCAGAACATCGGGCATTAGAATCCCCTGGACGAACAGCTCAGCTGTTCAAGAAACAAATGAATAATCATCGACAGTCAGGACCACGAACTATTATTGATGAATTAGGACAAGTTATAACAAATGACAACCAAATAGTAAATGCATTCAACAAATACTTCTCAACTAACTATACAGTCGAGGAGGGAGTGACCCCCCAACTGACCGAAATGACAGAACGCATCCTTAGTGAGATCCGTTTTAGTGAATAACCTGTTAAAATAGCCATTAAACAACTATCCAACGCTAACTCTTGTGGGACGAACAAAATCGCCCCATGTATTCTGAAGCATATGACACATGCTCCAATAGTCCTATCGAAGTTATTTACCCTATTCCAGTCAAATGCATTTTTTCCGGACATGTGGAAATACTCGACCATTGCACCATTTTACCTAAAAAGTCGTGTCAGTCCTGCCACTTAACTTTTTTGGAATTCATTTCCAGCAATAGAGATGATGGAAACACAGTAGCTTCAATATACTTCGATCTAAAAAGGCCTTTGACAAAGTCCCCCATAAAAGACTACTGGTAAAGCTCATAAGTCATGGAATTAGGCCGCCCCTTCTCGATTTTCTTAAATCCTATCTTCAAAACCGATACCAGGTGGTGCAAATTTGAAATGTAGTCTCAGAACCATCCCCTATTACCAGTGGAGTACTTCAAGGCACTATCCCAGACCCCCTTCTATTTCTCATCTATATTCACGACTTGTCGGCCATATCAGTATCAGCTAAGACGTTTTGATATGCAGACGACCTTCAACTTGCATATGTATATAACGGGAACGCAGTTGCCAATATGCACAGAACAATTGAAACTGACCTCAGAGAACTTGGCGAATGGAGTAGTCAATGGCAGATGCCCTTTTCACCCGAAAAATTTCATCTCCTGATCTTTGGCCCACAAAAACATCCGCCCAAAAGTTTCGAGGATAATGAAATAACAGAGGCCCAATCGGTTAAAGATTTAGGTCTCAGCTATACAAATACCCTCGATTTATCTCCCCACGTCCGACAAATATCACCGAAAGCCACTCGCCTATGTGGATTCGTATGTAAAAATTTCACCTTAAATGCACTATGAATACAACTTTCCAAAATGCACGTTTTACCTCTCCCAAATTATTGCTCAATTATCTTCGGTATAATGCCCTCAGACGGCCGAAAGAAACTATAAGGCATTCAGAGACGTTTTACTCGATCTTTGTCCAGAAGTGATAACACCCAGGGTTCGTACTTAGAACTGTATTATAAATATGGTCTTCGACCACTCTGGGTCAGAAGACTCCAAAATGGTCTCAACTTCCTATTCAAGGTCACCCATTACCAAGATATTTTCAAAATGAATTTACTAACAAACCAAAACGCCCCCAGAAAAACCAGAAATAACGAACATATTATAAGGATCCCCAAATTCACAAATTCCCAACAGTCGAATTTCTACACCATAATATGCCACTATCTGGAATGCTCTTCCAAGTTCTATCCGGAAAAACCGAACCCTAATCGAGTTTAAGATAAAAACTAAGAAATTCCTTTCAAATAACAATATGCATTTATTTTTGAATAAAACAGGACACTTTTCAAGTCAATTCTTTAATAAAGAATTTGGTCCGAAAGGGCTCTGATGATACCAACCGTTTGTATAATAATAATAATAATAATAATAATAATAATAATTTATTAAATGCCAGTTTACAGGCATTGTCAAGGGAAGCGATTAAACACGAATCCGAACAGCAGTGAAAAAAAACTCCTGAGGTAAAGGAACAAAAATATACTTGATGGTGGTTTTTGATGTCATCTCCCGCATTCCGACCTCATGCGGTCTGTCGACGCTCACGGCGGAACCCTCAGTATTCACTGTCTACTAGTAGTTCGGTCGTACCTCCCTTCCCCACTGCTCGGCTGAGCTCGAAGCGTGCTGTTGCCGATCGCATCTGGGTTCCTCTCGTCTGCCCTCTTTGACGCGGCGTATCAATCCGGCCCAGACGATCTCAATTGTGAATCCCGTATACAATGCCATATGCAAGCCAGTCCTGTCTGACCCACATTCGTATCCCTCAAGGCTGAGATTTATTGCTACCCTGACGATGACCGACAACATTCCGTTATATGCCGCCACCTACAGGCCAGTCCTGCTCGCTTTTTTCTGCCATTATTTTTATTGAGGGTTTTTTTCTCCTGTAAAATTAATCCAATCATTTTTAACTTTTTGTAAGGAGTTTTTTCACCCCTCAATTATCATGTTTCTCAATGGTCTTCTAATTCAGAAACTATGAATTGCATTTTGTAAAGATTCGGCCTACCTCGTCTAAAACTCGCATGCAAATTTATTTTAACTTGCTTTGATGGGACCCCGACGTGTCTTTAATAAAAATTATCTATCTATCTATGGTTTGGAGGGTTCAGGAGAAAAAACTGCTGGTGGTAGACTTTCAACCGTCAAGAGGGGGGGGGTTGCACGGCATCGGAGATCATCGGACGTCAATTCCTTTCATGAAGTTGGGGATAGTCAAAGTAGAGGCGTTGAGGAACATCTGGTGAGACCGGCCATAGTGTTCAGAGACCACAAACGTCATCGCTACGGCAGAGTCGATCAGTGGATTCAGCACCCAAAATTTGTGGGAACTTTTCTGAATGCAAAAATCGAGTAATAGTTCTCTTAAGTAAAGGATAATTTTGCAGAGTTTTCACACTCATAGGTAGTTTATTCCAAATCGCAATTGCATTTACAGAATAGAACAGACGATATTTAAAAGTACGTGCCAGAGGCAGAAATAAAAAGACCTCATGGTGACTGTTACGTCGTGGGTGGATACGATGTCCTAAAGAGGTGAGTGGGTTAAATGTGTGATTATATAAGAGTTTAAATGGCAAAAATAGTCAATTTTGTAATCTACGAAACCATAGAGGATCAAGGCCTGTAAGCCGGCAACGTCCTTGGTAAGACAAATGTCGGTGTTCTGGGGTTGAAATTCTCTTGGTAAAAAAGTGTTGAACGGATTCTATTTTCTTCCGCTCAGTAGCACGCATGAGGCTAAATGAAAACGAACAGTATTTCATGTAAGGTATAACATACATGTTGTAAAGGCGCATTCTAATGTCCCTAGTTTTAAAGTTTCGGAGGACAAACCCGGTCGTTCTACGTGCTTTGGAGACTATCAAGGCACAGTGCTCCGAGAGATTGAAACTCTTGGAGTATGATACGCCCAGATCCTTAATAACCCCAGGCACATTTATGGCGTGACCTTCAATACTTAGTTGAGGTTGGCGGTCGTCGCCAACAACCATGACTGAGCACTTATGCTAAGAAAGAGAAAGGCGCCATGTGCGGCACCACTGGGCGAAAGCCTGTAGATCGCTCTTTAGGAGCTCGAACACTATGTCACTATCTGCCGGCTTATATCGATATGCAACTTTAAGATCATTGGCATACATGAAAGGCTTACCATTCTGAAATAAATCGGGTACATCATTAACGTAAAGGCGACATAAAAGCGGGCCGAGTAAACCTCCCTGAATGACTCCACTCCCACGCGTGTGGGGTTGGAGATGGTATTGGAAATCTTAACTCGCTGTGTACGAGTGCCCAGGCAAGAGGATATAAAATTCAAAAGTTTGTTACCTATTCCGAAAGAGGGTAGTTTCAAGAGAAAAAGTGCATGGTCAACACGATCAAAAGCCTTAGTGAAATCGAAATATACTGTGTAAAGTGCAAAACCATTGTCCCTAGATTGGAGAACATAGTCAAAGAAAGAGAGTTGACAGGTGTCACAAGATCGAGCTTTGAGCAATCCATGCTGAGCAGCACTCAGCAAGTTAGTCACTGTTAAGTGACACATCATCTTATCTTTGATCAATGTCTCTAAGATCTTCGAAACTGCGGGGAGTGTGTTTATTGGCCGAAAGCCATCAAATGATGTAGATTTGCCATGCTTAGGAATGAGCAAAATATGTGATTCCTTCCATAAGGTAGGATAAGTTTCACCTTCAAGAGCGAGATTAAATATCTTGCATAAGAGAGATGGGAAAATCGCATTTGCATCGGCCTTCAAAATGCCTACTGGGACACCATCGGGGCCTGGACTATAAGATTGACGAAAACGCCGAATCACAACAGTCACATCCCACAGAGTGAAAGTTATAATTTCTAGAACTGCCCCGGTCAATGACTGGATGGTCGGAAGCGGAGTGGTCGAGTCTTTAATGAACGTTTTGGACAGGAAATCATTGAAGCTATCAGCGATTAACTGGGCATCAACGATGGGCTTTCCGAGAGCGTCTCGGAGGATGGGATGCTGCGTCTTTCTATGAGTTCGTATTTTTCTAGAGAAAAGTTGAGACATTTAACGAATGGCTTTCGGTAAACTGGACCTCTTCGGCTAGCTGTTTTTCTTCAGACAATCTCTTAGCTCGATCAAAAATATCACAAATCAAGGGCAGAACAGAGACATCGTTCTGAAGATGGAAACGATGATAAAGCCTGCGCAGTCTGCGACGAAAGGGTAAGGGTAGGAAAACCTCATCCCTAACATTAATGATTTTCTTACTGGGGACAAAACGAGAAATAAGCGGATCCAAAATTTCGTACAGATTTGCAGTGCAAACATTTACATCCGAACTAAGGAAGAAATCAGTCCAGTCGTAGGAATTAAGGTGTGTTAATAATTCGGTTGAGCGAGTTGATCGGAAATTGCGGAAAAAGTAATACTGTGGGGACAAGGTTCTGTCAGCCTCGAATTCCAATGTTGAAACAACTATTTCATGGTCTGAGCCCCCGAGTGGGCCTAGGGATGACAATGACGATGGCAAGCAGCCTCTACAGAAAATTAGGTCAAGTATACTTGAGCCTCGGGTGGGAAAACAGACAACTTGATTCCACATCCCAACATCCACAGCCTTAAGAAAGTCTTCGAACCGTCTGGGGTCTGAAGGCGGAGACCAGCGGACTTCGGGAAGATTAAAGTCACCCGCAACCAATTGATACTTAAAGCTTAAGTCGGCCACAGCATGAAATGCCTGTGAGAGTAAGCGATCAAAATTGTCGTTGGCGTTGGGAGGGCGATAGACGCAGCCAACAAGTAAGGAGAACTTATTTTTTAGTGCAACCTGGAGCCAGCAGCTGCCTTCTACCGCTGAAAAGTGCGAGAAGTCCAACGGCAAACATGTAAGTGTTTGCTTAACGTAGACGCAGCTGCCCCCACCACGGCCATCTTGGCGATCATTTTGAATGCAATTGTAGCCTAGAAGAGAGAGTTTGGAGTCAGCTACCGAGGCTGATGCCCACGTCTCAGTTACTAAAACAATAGCAGGACAATGGACGAACACCTGAGTCTGAAGCAAAGGCATCTTATTAAGCAACGATCTGGCATTTAAAACAAAAAACTTGGAGGGAAAGGCTGTTAGTTTTTGAGGGAGGTGGGCTACATCGTCCATTTCTGGGCTGCCCACGGAGCAAGCGGTCCGGATGCAACCATCCGGTTCTGCAAAAAATTTTGTGGCATCAAAAAATTCTGACGTGGATAAAAAGGGGTAGGACTTGGGGGAGGGAATGACGGGCAGGTGAACTGGTAACCATTGTTAGCTAACTTATATTCAGTTGAAAATCCGCGGGGTAGATACTGCAACGTATTTCGGGCGGAACGAAACTGAGGATCGGATGAGTTAACTGATTCAGTATGGACATTAGCATGAGGAATACAGTGATAAAACGGCCGTGGAGGAAACAAGTTAGGGAGTGGGGGACGCATTGTTTTAATTGGAGCAAGAGTTCTATTAAACGGCGGGAAAATTGGCATATTCGGCCTAACCGCCTTGATATGAGGGCTGGGGGGCAGTTAGGAGCACGATATGTTTTGATTCGGGGTATTTGAGGCACTGTTAGCCGATTGTGGAGAAAAAGATGTTATAATGGTGCTGGATTTATCGGGTGTCCGAGTGGCTGAGACAGCAATTGGATTTGCCTTCCACTAAGACACATAATTAGGCTTACTAGGGGTTGCTGGGGGAGTCGATAGAGGCGTGTTTATACCAGGCGTGATGGTGTGTTTAAAGAGCTCAGCATTAAAAGTAGTCGAACTCCCTACGGAATTGACTATGCCGTGACTTGCAGATGCCGCAGGTGGTGTTGTAGAGGACATATTCAGACTGACAGTAGGTGTCATTATCTTGGTGTTGGTTTTTGCCGATTTTAGTTTATTCAGTCTTCGCTGCAGGGGTGTGAGGTCTGGCGAAACGGAGCAGCGCCATTTACGACAGAAGTCTCAAGTCATCTCCCTACTCGACAAGATAAAATCGACTTCTATCATGGGGAAAAGGGTAACTAGTATCGGCGCATTACGACTAAGCGAGCGAAGTCGCTTAGCTTGTGCGACACTGAAACGCAAGCCACAACTTTGCAGGAACAAATGCGCTCCCTCCATAGCAGATAAGTGGCTCGGAATGTTTCGCAGTACGAAATAATGCTTGCATTTAATTCTTTCCTCAGTTTCCGAACTTAGTACGCCAATAAGTTTAAAAGTTTGTTCAATTACTTTTCAGAAGTGCTGTTTATGTCGCCATAAATCAACTGGTCGACTATTTCGCCGGCTGGTGGCCTACTACGACTAGCAGAGGCGTATTTTTGGACGACTGAAGTGTCAAGAGGTTCTACATGTACTAAAGGGATTTGTGAGTTAATCAGATCTGCAGACGGCCAAGAACATACGCTGGCACCTGCTATGTCTTCAGTCACGATTTTAGCACCCAGAGACGGTGGGGAGGCCGCAAGCTTTCGCCTTTTAGCACGTGCTCCGCGGGGCATTACAGACAAGAAAAGTTTTTGTTACAGAAGAAGGATCAACACGTTGCCAACGTACGGAAAAGCGCACTAAATAGCAAGTGCTACTGTTATTTAACTGCGAAAACTAGAAAGAGGTAGTAGGAAAAGGAGTCACTACAAAGGTTTTTTTACAAAATACGACTATTTTGCCAGACTGTCAAACAAAACTGGAAAAACTTATACCTTGTATTGAAAGGCGACTTTTAAAAGGGACTCGAGTAAAAAAAAACAGGCATTAATTGCTTAAGAATATCCGGATAAATGCAAAGCTTCACTCATCTTTGAAATTGAGCTGCGCGCTTTGACCTTGTAGCGTGAAAAAAAAAACACCGGAACATTGCACTAAAAACAATCAAATTTATGAAAGATTGCATCATTGATAAAAATAGAACGAGTAGTGATATTCTTTCTTTCCTCCCTTTATCGTTTCTATCGGCTGTATAACCTGACACTAAATATCCCTTAAGGAGGTGATAATAACATCCCTTTCTATAAAACCCTACATATTAGTTGTACGTAAGTCTATATTAAAGTCATATTAAGCATATATACAACAGATATATATAAACATATATATCAACGACTGGAAAGGGTACAGGCGATGGCTACGAAGATGGACAAGAATCTTCATCATCTGCCTTACCAAACCAGGCTGACCGAACTAAATCTGTTTCCTCTAAATTACAGGCAACTGCACAGCGATCTCATTCAAACCTACAGGATTGTCATAGGTCGTAAGTATGCCCTAGACTTTGATGAATTCTTCGAATTGGCCGGGACTGACCGCCTGCGTGGTCATCCCTTCAAGCTGCAGAGGAAGCTGGCCCATTCGGACGTCTGACGGAACGCCTTCTCTCACAGGGTCATTGGGGCATGGAACGGACTCCTTGATGTAGTGGTTCTTTCCGAAAGTATCGATTCCTTCAAATGTAGACTAGATCCTCATTTGTTGAGGAACTACTGTACATACAATAACGATTGTTTTAGCGGAGGCAGTTTGCGCCTGGCTCACACTTACCGCTAATTTTTTAACTTTCCGCATTTGCTGATGTAATTGAGGACTTTATTTCTGTTTATCGATATGAATAGGGAACTCAAGGGCGAAAGCCTCATTCCCTTAATAAACTGACTTAAGTATATTAGATCATAGTATACAGTCGACCACTACTCCTATAATGTCACATTCACGAGAATCAATATGATACATAATTCAATATTATTTTGACAGCTTTAATTGTGACTTACCATTGAATGTTTCTCACTCCTGATATATATTCATCTTTTCCAGCTCTTAGTCCAGACAGTTATGGCAAGACGAAGGAAATGTGCGACCACCCCTTTACAGCTAGTCAGATAGACTGACGACCACCAACTAGAACACACCAAAATTTACCCAACTGGAAAATACTTTCAAGGACATATTATTCATGCCCACCCAGAAATTACCAAACTGCACACTTCCATTTTTGTGTTGTACATATCGTTCTTTCTTAAAACTTTTCTGATTATTTTTCCTTGGAACTCGGGTTTTTTAACTTAAAACAAATTCTCAATTCGCGCTCTATTGGCTAAAGAGACACCCAAGAAAAATACAGTCAAAGTGCAGTCGAAATGGATGAGTTTGTTTTAGGTTTTTTTCCTGTGTTGAAGAGAGACTGACAGTGCCCAAGAGGGCTATAATAAACCTATTCTATTCTATTCTTAATCGGCGGGCTTAACCAGGTGAGGGCATCTGAGTGCGCATCTCCGCACACAATAATCACGACCTCGCTGGCCGAATGGGTCACCGCAACGGCACTGTCATGACAAGGCTCCGTCTGGAACACCACAGGAGACCACAAGGTAAGTGAGCCCCGGGTAAGAGAACGTTGCTCTGTCGCCTTTGCTCTGCTTGTTTATGTTGCCTCTTCTCTGTCTGTTTGTCCGTGTTTGTCCTTTTTCAATGCAATTGCCGCTCTGTTGGGTTTTTTGTGTTTCCTTGTTGTTTTCGCCTGATTACTTTCGTCTGCTTGTTCTTGTCCGTCCTTACCGTAAGTTAAATGCCGTTATGATGAATATGCCTGCTCCCCATTCGTATTTTACAATCCATTAAACCGGAAAGCGATGCTTCTTGTCCCCCTGCCCTCGCCTACGCGTCGTCGTAGGCAGTCCCAGGTTAACTCGGGTCGCTGTCTCACTAAACCAAGTCGTGGCCCATAGTGGAGTTCGGCAGCTGCCCGGGACAACTGAGCAGCCCTATTTAGGGATTTACTGCTCATCCCCTTGGTATCGACGAGCTAAAAATGGCGCTCTAAACTAATGCTGGGAACCACGCCGTCTGCAGGCTGACCTTGGCCGCAGACGCAAACCACACGGTCGAAACAATCGAAGCAACACTATCTCTCCCTCTCTTCCTCCTCCTACCCGCCGCCCCACTCGTCAGACTGGCATTGTGAGTCCGTCCACCATGGCAACCTGGAATGACCGTTCCCATTTAGACTATTCGAGGAGCAGCCGACCGGAACGGAGGACGACTTTAGTGGCTCTGGAACTGGTACGTTACAAGGTGGACGTCGCTGCTGTCAGTGAGACCCGGTTTTTCGAACAAGGCCAGCTGAAGGAGGTTGGTGCTGGTTGCACCTTTTTCTGGAGTGTCTGCCTAAAGAGAGAGCGACGGGACGCGGGCGTCGCGTTGCCATCCGGAACGACATCGTGGGACAATTTCCTTGTCTGCCTCCGGGCATCAACGAATGTCTGATGAGTCTCCGCCCGCCTCTTCGATGAGGCAAATTCGCCACCATCATCAGCGACTATGCCCCTCAATGACCAGCCCCGACGTAAAAAGAGACAAAGTCTACGAGGAACTGCACGCCCTCCTGGCGACCGTGCCGAAGGCAGATAAAGTCAAGTATGCCTAAGTGGAAATCTGTTGAAATGGCTAGACGATTTTTTTCGGGCAGATCTCGGCGTGTGTGTATCGGAAAACTAAATCAGAATGGACATCTGTCCACAGTGGCGTTCCGCAGTGGAGAGTTCTGGGTCCAGTTCTGTTCTTCATATATGCGAACGACTGCCTGAACTGCCTGAACTGCGAGCGCGTAATTTTTTGCCGATGATCTCAAATTGTGGAAATCAATAGAGAAGCTGGATGAATTACTACAGTTACAAAATAATCTGAATCGTTGCAACAATGGTGTAATGAGTGGTGTCTTAATCTTAACCTTAACAAATGCCAACCTATCTGATTACGATCTAGGAACAGGAGACCATTGAGATATGAATCTTACTACTTTGTAGGAGGTCACCAACTCGAATCCGTCAACGAGTGAAGAGACCTCGGTGCGTGGGTGACGAAAACTCACAAACCGTCGTCTCACTACGCCAAGCTATCAAAGAAAGCTGTGGATATCCTAGGCGCAATTAGAAGACCCTTCCTCAATTTTCATGAAGAACTTTTCGGTCGAGTATTTGGAGCACTTGTTCGACCAATGTTGGAATATTGTGCTCAGGCATGATGTCCCTGGACGAAACAAGATTACACCCTACTGGAGAACGTACAACGAACAGCGACCAATCTATTCGGCGGATTAAGTAGCATACCTTATGAGAGACGCCTGGAAATGCTAAAAACATTTCCTCTCTCTTACAGACAACACAGAAGGTATACGATCGTGACCTTTAGGATCGTCAGAGGGCTTCACTGTGCTCTTCAGTTTGATAATTTCTCCAGACAGGCGCGGACGACCAATTTTCGAGGCCCCCAATGCACATTGAAGATAAAATATGCCAAACTTGAAGTGCTGGAAAAATTCTTCTCCCACCGGCTGGTTGAAGGATGGAACAAATTGCCGAACTCGGTTGTCTAAGCGGAAAAAGTTGAAATCTTCAAAAAAAACTCGATAAATTTATGCCTGTTGGTCAAACAGTTTCTCGATAGCGATAAATGGCATAAAGGTAATGTAAAAATCTGCATGTTTTTTCCTACTTCTATCTGTAAATATGGTTTTCTGAGGCTCTGCCTCTATATCTCATATAAACTGAATTATATTGAAGTTGATTGTCCTTGATGAACTCAGCACCCGCGTCGGCGCAGACCATACTGCCTGGAGAGGAGTGCTGGATCCCCATGGTCTTGGCGGCCCCAATGACAACGGCCTGCTCCTTCGACGAACCTGCGGCGAACACCGGCTCATCCTGACGAGCACCTTCTTTCGCTTCCCGATGCAAAGAATGGCCACCTGGATCGATCCCCGATTGCGTCAGTGGTACCTGCTGGACTATATCTCCGTCCGGAGGCGCGATCAGCAGGACATGCTGGCGACAAAGGCGATCGCGGGCGCTGACGGGGAGACCGACTATCGCATCGTCATCTCGAAGATGCGGATTCGACCACGGCCTCGTAGGAGGCCTCAAGGTAGCGACACCTAGCTAAGCTAATTCCTGGTTTGTTGACTTTGCCTACCCACAATCTCCATTTCATCAACGAGCTTACTCAACGGCTAAACAACCCACCAATCTTTGATGCTGTTGGCGCTGCCGAGAACGCCTCCGTGGAGAAACGATGGTGTCAACTGCGGGACACAGTCCAGTCGACGGCGCTGGTCGTCTTCGGACGCGCACGCCGTCTGGTTTGATGATAACGACGCCGCCATCAGCAACCTGCTCGCCGAGAAGAGCCGCTTGCGCAAACCCTGCATCTAACGTCTCACCGACAACAACAGAGGTGTTTTTTACCCTACTTGCCGCCTTGTGCAACAGCGGCTGCGAGAGGTGCAGGACGCCTGGACGGCTCGCAAGGCCGAGGAGATCCATGGGTACGCGGACCGAAACAAATGGTAGAATTTCTTCTCCGCGATCAAACCCCTCTACTGTCCGCCAACCAAAGGTGCCGCTCCTTGTCTTAATGCCGACGGCAGTATCCTAATCAGTGAGAAGACACAACTTCTACATTGAAGCTACGAGCACTTCCGAGGCGTCCTCAACCTTCCCTCCACCATCTCCGACGCCGCCATCGCCCGTCTGCCGCAATTGGAGACCAACGCCGACCTCGACCTCCCCCCATCTCTCCACAAAACAATTAGGGTCTTATAGCAGCTCTCCAGCGGGAAAGCTCCCGGATCGTACGCGATCCCCGCTGAGATCTACAAGCACGGTGGCCCCCGAATCATGAACAATTTTTTGGCACTATTTCAGGGAATGTAACGTCAACAAGAAGTCCCGCAGAACTTCAAGGACGCCGCAATCGTCTACCTCTATAAGCGGAAAGGAAACCGCGAGTTCTGCGAAAACCACCGAGGCATCTTCCTGCTGAACATCTCCGGGACAGTCTTCGCTCATATCCTTTTCAGTCGTCTGAACAACCAGCTAGAACAAGGTTTCCTGCCGGAAAGCCAGTGCGGCTTCCACCATCATCGTGGGGCCATGGATATGAGCTTCGCCGCCCGTCAACTTCAGGAGAAGAGTCAGGAGATGCGGATCCACCTCTACTCTACCTTCGTGGATTCAACGAAATCCTTCGACACGGTGAATCGTGAAGGACTATTAAAAATCATGCAGAAATTTGGGTGTCCCTAACGACTGACTCAGATGGTGCGTCATCTCCACGATGGCATGATGGCGCGAGTCACGGACAATGAAGCTGTCTCAGAGGCATTTGCGATGGCCAACGGAGTGAAACAGCGCTGCGTCCTCGCATCCACTCTCTCTAGTCTTATGTTTACTGCCATGCTGGTGGACGCCTGCTGTGACGAACGTCCGGGATCCGCATTGCCTACAGGAAAGACATCCACCCTCCACCACAGGCGGATGCACTTCCAGTCGCGTGTATCCACAACCACCGTCCACGAACTTCTCTTCGCCGACGACTGCGCCCTCAATACTACCCGGGTAGAGGATATGTAAAGGAGGATAAATCACTTCTCCGCCGCCTTCGAGAACTTCGGTCTGATCATAAACACGGAGAAGGTGGCGGTCATGCACCAACTGCCACCCAACGCAACCCCCAAGGCGCCACAAATCAGCGTGGACGGAACCCAACTGCACGTAGAGGACAACTTCCCGTATCAAAGCAGCACCCGCTCCTGCAGGACCAAAATCGACAACGAAGTTGTCCGCCGCATTTTCAAAGTCACTCAAACTTTCGGCCGCCTGCAGAACACCGGCTGGAACTGTCACGGTCTCCATCTCACCATGAAGTTGGAGTCATCCTGCGGACGCTGTTGTATGGAGCGGAGACCTGGACAGTTTCCAAAAAGCAGGCACGCAGACTCAATCAATTCCACCTCAGCTGCCTTCGACAGATACCGAAGCTGATGTGGCAGGATCAGACCCCAGACACTGACGTATTGGAAAAGACGGGAGTCCTCAGCATCTGCGTCATGCTGAGACAACTGCAGCTGCGTCGGAGTGGCCGCTTCGTGCGGATGGACGACGAACGGCTACCCAAACGGCCGTTCTATGGAGATTTCGCCAGGGGTTCCCGACGTCATGGAGGCCAGATCCGTCGACATAAGCAGACTCTGAAGACCTCCCTCAAGCGTCTGCAGATTAACCCGTCCAAATGGGAAGACCTCGGTTGAGACCGGCCGACCTGTAGGAGGACATTGAAGACAAACGTAGTGATCTACAAAGCCAACCACATCGCCGCCGCGAAAGCCAAACGAGAAGCACGCAAATCTCAACTGCACCCGCCTCGCAGCGCCAACATACAACCGACTTCAACGTGTCCACGGTGTTAACGGACATCCCGGGCCCCGATTGGATTTGTTGGACACTTTCGGACCAACTGCAGCACTCGGACTGCACCAAATGTCCTCTCTCCGTCCGCCTCTCCCTCACCTCTTACGCCGTCAACTAACTCTGACCGTGTTCACGAACCACCACTACCACCCTCCTCTTCCTCCACTGCTTCAACGTCCTCCGTTGCGGCGTCTGTCATGCACATCAACACTAGACACGATCGTGACACACCAGCAGACATCAACACCACCAACGTCGACGCCAGTGATGGGGACCTGGACTATACCTGTCCTCACTGCGATTTCACCTTCACATCACACATCGGCCTGGCCGCTCACCTGAGAATCCATCGCGCAGAGACTGGCGAGTCAGTGCCTGAAACACCAACCTACACACGCCGCATCCGCCTCCACTGTCCACACTGTCATCGCACATTCAAGCATGCATGAGCCTATTTGGCCACATGAGTATCCACAAGAGCGGAATTTACCGCAATCACGACGCACCCAGCACATCCAGCACACCCGTCATGCCTGGCCCCGTCCTCACTTCGTCGGCCTGCGCGCCCACCGCCGCCAGCTCCATCACACCCAGTGCACACTGCACATCCACTGCGTTCAGCCCTACCCACACCCTATCGCACAGTGCGCCCGTTGTCACAGCCTCCCTAGCTGTTAGTAACTCTATCGACTTCTCCTGTCCACACAGTCCCCGCACATTCACCTCACGCATATGCCTGGTCAGTCACTTGCGAATCCATCGCACAGGGACTGGTGAACCAGTGTCTGGGGCACCAAGCCACACTCACCGCATCCGCCTCCACTGCCTACATTGCACACGCAAATTTGCGCACCGCATGGGCCTATTCGGCCACATGCGCATCCCCGAAAACCTGCTGTAGACAGTCGCCGACTGTACCAAACGACCACTTCATCCCTCACCAGCTTCTCTTCGGACATCAACATCACTCATCGCAGGCATCTAATTGCCACCTCCCGCGCAAGTTGGAAGTGTGCGTCTCAATTCGGTCTCCGTGCCGCCCCCTGCTGCATGAATGGCTCGAACCTGAGACTATCATGTCGCGTCGAGCGCCGGGACTTGGAAGGCTGATGACTGACACCCAAATCAGTCCATGTCATTCATCCATGTGTGTGTGTGTGTGGAGTGGCGGACTGGTGGACCGAGAGCCGGGCTGAAGCAGCTCCTCCTAAACATGACCACGGCACTCTCACGCACGTGAGACGTACGCCGTTCAGCCCCCGTTGTGTGAAATCCTGGTGCTTGTGTTGGGGTGCCAGGTCGTGCATGTGGCGCGCGTAGACAAGGCAACTCGACTTTGTCAGCCAACGCGCCCATTCCCCGAACCTGCCAACTAACCGGCCTGGACACTGGCTGAGGCCTGAGGATGGAAGGGGAGAGTCAGCGCATTTTCCTCACTACAAACAGGCTGACGCGCTTAAAGCCATCACGGTGCGCTAAAAACCGTGGCTTGGAAGTCTGCCAACTGATAGGATAATTGGACCTTGCAGTCAGCACAGTGTTGTGTGTTTGAGTGGAGTCGCCGACTGGTGGTCTAACAGTCAGGCTTCAGTGACCCCTTCTCAATGTGGCATTTATGGCACTCTCACCCCTTGGGATCCGAGTCGGGTGGGACGGCACGCCTGGATGCGGCTTCGGCTATGCCAGTCTCCAATCTCTGTTGTTGTTGGCCAAAAACCTGGTTATTTGTTGTGTGGACCGGGGGGTGTGGAGTGGAACGCCAAAGTGCGGGTCCGGCCGTGGCACCCACCTGCAACCTCCGTCGCCTCCTGTCTTCTTGACTCTGTCTTGATGCCGGATCCAGGTGGGGGAGGAGAGAGTGCAGTAGATGCTGAGCAAGTCTCCCACCCACTATAAACCAAATCACGCGTAAGTTACCGTCCCTGCCCGCACCTTGATGTGGAGCACACGGTGGACATCGTCGGATGCGACGGCTGAACTATCGATGTATGTATTTTAAGGGTTACAGACCGAGCCTTCGACTGAAGGGACTGGGAGTTGGCGTTGTGTGTCGGTGCCGTCCCAGGCTTTGAAGCCGATCTTTTGGCGTTGGCAGTGACAGTCGGATTGGTTTTTTAAATCGCTGCTTTATTCTTCACTGCTTCCCTTCAGGGCGGTCGATTCCAGGGAATGCCTTGGCAGGTCTCCGGAACGATCCGCAGGCGCTTGAGAGAGGTCCTCAGAGTGTCTGTGGGATGTCATTTTGTCCTCTTTATCGGCGAAAATCCATAGCGGTATCGCCGCAGAAGAGTTGCCTGGGTAATTACTTGTTGTCCATCCTCGCGAGATAGCTGCTCCAGCACAATTACAGTCACCCCAACGTGCCACAGATGCTGGAAGTTCCGGCTCGTTCGAGGGCTGCCGAACCCAGGATCCTGTTTTTACACCTCGTTGACAATCTGGGACTCCGCTTTATACAGCGACGCTGTCAGGATGACAACTTCGTACATCTCGATTTTTGTGTTCGACTGGAGACCGTGGCCATTCCACACTGAATCCTACATTCAGCGAAGGCCTGAATGTCTTTGGAAATTCCCTTTGTGCCTCCATCGCCTTTATTCATGTCCATTGTGAGTGTACCGTCTAAATAGGCTGGTTTATCACTATTTCTGGTTGATGCCACTAATACTGATTTCATGGTCGTTGTATTCAGCGTTTGACGTCAAACGGTGCATAACCACTGCTTTATCCCTGTTAATGATCAGTCCGAAGTGTTCACAGCCAGAGACAAATAAGTCCCTGTTCCGTTGAATTAATCAGTAATCATGGTAATGGAGAGCTTCTTTGGGCCCTGTATGCGTCGGATGTCGAGAAGTGACTTTCTGTATTGAAGGCAATGTTAACACCTAACCGTTCTTCAGGGTGGGCCTCTAACTTCATGGTAAGGATCACGGGGCTGAAAAGGCTGAGCGCGAGTAAGGGGTCCTGCTTCACCCAAATGGTTATCACAAAGGCGTCCGAGACTGCCTCAGTGTCTGTCACGCGCGCTGTAAGTGTGTCATGAGGCCGTCGTATCACCTGGGTGACTTGCTTAGGAAGTCCGGATTTCTACATGATTTTCCTAATCACACCGTGATTCACTGTGTGAATGTCTTTGTTAGGTCAACGAAGTCAGTTTAGAGCTTCGTCTGCAATTCCTAGCACTCCTCCTGAAGTTGGCTGGTGGCGAAGATCGTTTCGGTGGTTCCGTGGTCTCTTCGGAATCTGTACTGACTCCCAGGAATGAGTCATTACTCTAGATGCGTGTTCCGGCGATTAGAGTGGACGGAGGCTCATATTTTCCACGCGATGTTGAGAAACGCAGTGCCTCTACTAGTATCACATTGTTGTCAACTTCTTTTCCACTTTCGGGGGTGAAGGATTGTCGCGTCTTTGAAATCCTAAGGGACTTGTCCTTGCTGCCATGTCTTCTGAAAGAGGATGGTCTGCATGTCCATCAGCTGACGACGCAGTATTTGTGGATTCTGTCCTGGTTCCTGATGCTTTGTTGCTGACTTTGATAGTCTCTTAAAGCGAGAGCGGACGACTTTGGCAGACGTTGGGTTTCGCTTGAGGCGGCCTGTTGATGACATTACTGCAGATCGTGGATGGACAATGTTGTTTCCGTAGCTGATGTCGGCTGTTTTCAGCTTGTTCTACCGCAGCACGCTGCAGATATTTTCGTGGTCGTTCGACGGATCCTGGTGTCGACAGTGGCCGAGGACGTCCGGGATGGTGGAGTGAATGATAGTCCACGGTCACCGTCATTGCGTCCCCGCGGTGGTGCTGTTGTTCGAAGCCTGTCGATCTCCTAGGTGTTGAGCCACTTAATTGATGAACCTACGCAGTGAGTAAACACGTTTAACAGAGCGGTATATAATTAGCCTGTCGTTGGCTTACCTTTTGGTCCTGTACAGCCTCATTTTCGAGAAGACAAGGCAGTGGCCGTCCTGTAATTGAGCAGCGCAGATAGTCTTTGTCACTAGTACATCGTGACAGTCTCGCTTCCGACGAAACCATAGTTCAACGGCTGTCATCGCCACGCTCGGGGTGATTCCATATTGCACTCGTCCGTGTCTAAAGGATAAGATGTTAGTCAGGAGGAGAGGGTGTCCAGCACAGGTTTGCGTAAGAAACAGCCGACTGTTGTTCCGGGCGCCGATTCTGTGGAGACTCAGCGCCACCTCCCAGACAACACGGTCTGTGCCGATGCGACCAGTGCAGTCTCCCGGGTCAGTCAGCTTTTCAGCCATCGGCACAATCGCTAGGAAAATGTACAAGTCTTCAGAAAACTTCTTCACACCGTCGGCTGAAAAGGGGGGGGAGGGCGTAGGGGCTTAAGATAATGACTATATTGATTCTTTCAGGAGGGCGGCGCAGGGTCATTCAACGACCTTTGATACACTGCGATAGACGGGAGGTCGTCCCATGATGCCGTTACGGGCGACGAAGGCAGCGCCAGCCTTGCGTTTGGGTGGTTGTATCAGACGGAGATGCAGCCAGTGCTCACCTTTTCCAGCTAAGCTGTTTAAAGGAACCATGTCTCAATGAGAGCAGCCGTATTAAGAAATTGGCGCTACTCTTTTGTTCGGCAGGTCGCTCAGCCGATCATCTAAAAGAAAACGAACTTTCCAGGCTGTCAGACTGAGCAAGGTCACTCTATCAGACTGTGCAGTGAAGTGAGTGGAATGGGAACGTGGGTTGCTGTTAATTGTTGTGTTATTTCGATTGTTAGTTTTGCATCTACAATGCCCGTTATGCTTGCAGATATCGTGAGTTTCCAGCATGTATTTTGGCATCTTTTCTGATCCTTTCTCCGCTAAGACATAAGCTAAGCTATCCCTACTTGACGCCGCATAGAAATCACAGGTCACTGCCTAATTCCACCATGGGTCATAACTTTCTTTGGTGAGAAGACAACCTGAGTCAGCTCGGGACGCCTACGGGATCGCAAGTTACCTTTTCGTGGGATTTTAATGAATAAAGTGAGAAAGAATGGAAACGGGATCATGATTACTGGGTGTGGGGACGAGGTTATTTTAGGCGTTCTCCTCTGTTTAAAGGAGATTACCAGCGCTCAGGAGGTGCTCTAATAAACCTTTTAAATTCTGTCCTACCCTAGTTGTCGTTCCGGTCACGTTATATGAAAGGTTACGTAACGACTGGTGAAGGTCTTTCCAATGCGCTGCGTACCCACCGTGTTTGTGGCTACTCTATTATGCGTTCTGCGTTCTCTATGTTGAACGAATGTTAACAGGTCGTCCAATGTTCCGCTGAAAAAGCAGTGCGTTTATCTGCTATACTGTCCTATGTGCTCTCTTATGCCGGTCCGCGGTCGTTTGACGGTCTCTCCGATGTAGCGAATTTCGCAGGAATTTTACTCAACGCTTGTCGTCTCACCTCATGACATGGGGCTGTATCATGTCGCCTT